TTAAGTTCTGCCTGAGAATATGAGTGTGCTCATGCTGTGTATCTAGTTTCCAGGTTACCAAGCAGGTAGGTGGCAGCAAGTAAAATTCCCATTGTACAAATGAAGTAACTGAAACCCCAAATGCTGCAAGATTTTAGGCTTTGCCTCTTCAGTTATACTTCAGGCTTAGACGAGCATTAGGAGTGGTTTTTTCCTCTTCACAATCCCAGGTTTTGCACATAAACAGCTGTTACAAATTGATTTTTGCTATTGCTCCATTCTCAGTTGCTGTGTGGAAATTCCCAAATAATTCTGGAAGATCCCACCACTTACAAACATGCTTTGTTATGTCCAACTGAAGGTGCCCCTGCTGATGCTTTGGTCTGCCCACGTCTGTGCTGAAGTCAAAGGCCCTGAGGACAGAGAGTCCCTATGTCTGTCTGTCCCAGGGTCTCTGCAGACACTGCTCACCCCAATACCCAGGTGCTCCTCAAGTCCTCAGAGAGCCCAGTGCAAGAACCTCATCTTGTTTCTTCTCACCCTTTTATTGTAGTCAGCTCATGCCAGGACATAGACACGAGTGTAATGAGGAAGACAGTCGGGCGGACAGTCAGAGAGACAGGCATCACGCTGTACCTTGAATCACCTCTCTGAACCATGGACCATGCTTGTAAACTCTCCATTAGGATTAGCATCTTTCCAGGAGGGTCCAGACAAGCCAGAATACAGGCTGCATGCATTTAGGCCTAGACCATGATCCTGATACCCTTCCAAAATTACCATGACAGACCCCTGGATCCACAAAGAATCTTGGGGGGGTGGCGGTGTCAGGGTTAGGAGGGCACCAAAGTAAACTGTAAGAGGAAAGCAACCTGATTGAAATGGGTATGCTTTGTAACGCTAATAACAGCTAGCTTTCCCAGGCAGATTTGTATGTTGAAGAAGGACTCCCAGTAGCTTAAATGAATCTTTAATTGTTAAAATTTAAAGAAATGATAGGGTATATTTTAGATGGTTGGAGAGAGAGGGGGTATTTAATCTTAATTCAGATCACTTAAGCAATAACCTACTTTGATTATCAGCAAGGTCAATTCCAATAGCCACGAAGTACTTTTACTCATTCTTTACATTTTTTTTTTTTGAGGATATATAGTATGTTATTTACCTGACCTGGAGAGTATAGGCACTGATTCCAAAACGGTGAC